TTGATGTCAAGGGCTGTCTCTCTCACCTCACCTCTGGAATTCAGTTCTTTTGTCCATGGTCAGGAGCTGAGTGGCCCTGCTGGAACCCAAAGCTGGGTGCCACTGAGCAGGTCATTGCTAAGCAGGTACTACTTGATAGCATTGTTGATGACACCTTCCATCACTTTACTAATGATTGAGAGTAGGCCGATAAGGCAGTAATTGGCCAAGTTGGATTTGTCCTGCCTTTTTGTGGACAAAACATTTTCCACACTGTTAGGTAGATGCCAGTGTTGTAACTGTGTTGGAAGAGCTTGACTAGGGGAGTGGCAGGTTCTAGAGTACTAGACTGCAATACTCTTGCCCAAATGTTGTCAGGGCCCATTGCCTTTGCAGAATCCAGTGCCTCTATCCATTTCTTGATATCACCTGGAATGAATCAAATTCACAGAAGGCTAGTATCTGTGATGCTGGGGCCACTGAAGAAGGTCAACATGGATTATCCACTTGAAATTGAAAACCCCCAGCCAGTATACATTTTGTGCCCTTGCCATTCTCTGTGCTTTCTCCAAGTGTTACTCAAGATTGACCAGCCGAGGGAGGACAGTACATGGTAATCAGCAGCAGCTTTCCTTGCCCATGTTTAACCTAAAGCCATGAAGCTTCATGGTGTCCATAGTCAATGTTGAGAACTCCTTCCCAATTGTATACCACTGTACCGTTACCTCTGCTAGGTCTGTCCTGCTGGTGGGACAGGACATATCTAGGGATGGGGCTGGTGGTATCTGCGACATCGATTGTAAAGTATGATTCCATGAGTATGATGATATCAGGCTGATGCTTGACTAGTCTGTGAGACAGCGCTCCCAATTTTGGCACTAGCCCCACATGTTATTCAGGAGGACTTTGCAGAATTGTCAGGGCTGTTTTTGCTGTTTTCATTGCCTACGACTCGATTGATGCCAGATTTTGATGGCACCTTGCAAACTCCAGAGGATCCTTGATGGGACATCAGCTAAGAGCAATATGGTATTCACAGCAGGGTTGGGAGCAGTCTGCTGGCTTCTCCCTCCGCTGGGGCGTACCATGTAGAAACACTAAAGGGTAAAGATTTACAGCAGCACAAGGGTATCAACATAGATGCTCTACATTGTTATAATGCAAAGTTCCTTTTCTTCATTTAAAGTACCTAAATATTATTCAAATAATTGCTTGGTAGAGTAAGGCTTAAATATTGACAAGAAGAGATACAAAGGTGAAGCTTTTAATCTTACACTCATCAGGACTGACATGCAAGAAACGAAACTTGAAAATGAAGCACCGATTCACATGACATGAGAAGAGGATGCTGATTGCAAATAGAATAGCAGTTCATTGTCACGTGTATTTTTACAAAAGAAAAGTGAAAAATTTTATGAGTCATCATACCATGGTGCCTGTATTAATAACAGAAGTCATAGACAAGAAGAAAGAAGTAAAAATTAAGACAGAGTTAATCGCAGATCAATTTCAGTTCGGGGAAAGTCGATTAAGATGTCGAACACTTAAATATCCAGAAGCCGCCACCAAAGCAGACCTCCATACCATTGAGATCTTCATGCCAGGACAAAGACTGCCAATCCCCTGGAGCCCACCACGCCCAGCCAAGACCACCCTTCCAGGATGAGGCTGCCACAACGGGAGACTGCTGCATCAGGCCGAGACCGCCACACCGGGCTGGATGCCTCCTCTTCGCTGGGCCCGGGCTGGGAGAAGATGCCGTCCGCTGAAGAAGTTAAAAAAAGGTACGATAATAAATGGAAACTTTAGCAAAAAGCAGAAAAAGGAAAATGTAAAAACCGGATGGAGTAGATGGGCTCCTGGGCTGAGGATCCTGCATGCTGCATTGCTATACTGCCATCATCTCACTTCAAGATTGGTTGGCGAGGCAGCAGGAACTGTTGACTGTCATCCTTAGTTAGCTGATAAAACACTCAAGACCAGATACGTAAACTCTGATTGGTCAGAGTGTTGCCATGGGGAAGGCACCAAGGATTAGCAGCCTCCATGATCTTATCCTCAATGAGAAGGTGCAATATCTCGATGAATTGCAGTTTCCTGTTCACCAGTAAAGCAGCACAAAACAGCTAGCTTCACCTGTTGTTAAAATTTTTCAGATACCTTCTCCATCCTTTTCAAGAAATCTGAGAAGAGGGATTATGTTCGGCATGGACTGGTTGGATTGAAGGGTCTGTTTCTGTACTGTATGACTCTACAAGACTGGGTGTTGTTCAGGGCCAAAAGTAGTGGATCCATTCCTAAATTTGCAAGATATGCAGCGAGTATATACAGTGAATATCCTTATAAGTGTAAGGTTTGTCTTTGTGTCTTTTACTTTAAGCAATGTGCCTCTAGTGTTGCACATTCTGGTTTCACTGACCACTGTTGTTAACGTTGTTTTTAAAAAGAGGAGTAACATTTGTTAAAATGAGGAATAATGTTGATCGCCTCAATCTCTCCACCCTTCTCACTCATTCCAACCTCTTCCCCCAACGGAGCGTGCAGCCCTCTGCTCCCGAACCTCACTATCAAACCCACGGATAAGAGGGGTGCAGTAATGGTATGGCGCACTGGCCTTTACATGATCGAGGCCAGGCGCCAACTCTCTGACACTTCCTACTACTGCCCCCTCGATTATGACCCCACCCCGACCGCCAAACCATCGTCTCGCAGACCATTCATAACCTCATCACCTCAGATGACCTCCCACCCACAGCCTCCAATTCATTGTTCACCAACCCTACACCACCCGTTTCTATCTCCTTCCCAAAATCCACAAACCTGACTGTCCCGGCCGACCCATTGTCTCTGCCTGCTCCTGCCCCACTGAACTCACCTCCGCTTACCTTGACTCTGTTCTCTCCCACCCCGGTCTAGGAACTCCCCACCTATGTCCGGGTCACCACCCACAGCCTCCATCTCCTCCAAGACTTCCAATTTCCTGGCCCCCAACACCTCATCTTCACTATGGACATCCAATCCCTGTACATTTGTATCCCCCACGCAGATGGCCTAAAAGCCCTCTGCTTGCTCCTCTCCCGCAGGCCCAACCGGTCCCCCGCCACCAACACCCTCATCCATTTAACAGAACTTGTCCTTACTTCAAGGACCGCAACTTTCCCCCTCCAGTGATCAAAAATGCCCTCAACTGCATTTCTTGCATTTTCTGCGCTTCTGCCCTCCCCAACCAAGGTAAAAACAGAATTCCCCTTGTACTCACATATACCTCACCAACTTCCGCATCCAGCATATCATTCTCAGCCACTTCTGCCACCTACAATCCGATCCCACAACCAAAGAGATATTTCCCTCCCCAGCCCTATCTGCCTTTCGTAGGGACCGCTCTCTCCGTGACTCCCTTGTCCGCTCCACCCTCCCCACTAACCCCAGCAATCTGGCACCTTTCCCTGCAACCGCAAGAAGTGCTACACCTGCCCCTACACCTCCCCCCTCAACTCCATTCAAGGCCCAAAGCTAACCTTTCATATCAGACTGCGGTTCACCTTCACATCCACCAACTTGGTCTACTGTATCCATTGCTCCCAATGTGGCCTCCTCTACATCAGTGAAATCAAGCATAGACTCAGAGACTCTTTTGTAGAGCATCTGCGCTCTCTAGATGACAAATGACAACATCTTCCGGTCACCAACCATTTTAACTCCCCTTCCCACTCCCTGGGTGACATGTCCATCCTGGGCCTCCTCCAGTGTCACAATGACACCACCAACAAACTGGAGGAGCAGCACCTCATATTCTGCTTTGGCAGCCTACAGCCCAGTGGCCTGAACATAGAATTCACAGTTTTAAAATCTCCCCACCCCTGGCTTCATCCCATGTCCAACCTTCCTTCTCATTCCCACCTCCTTGACCTAACACAACCGTCCATCTTCTCTCCCACCTATCTGCCACTCCCACCTCACTGACCAACCCCCACCACTCCCTACCTGCACTCACCTATCACCATCTCACCAACCTTCCGCTGTCCCACCCCTCCTCTCTCTATTTCCCAGCTCCCTTCCCCTTCCTGAAGAAGGGTCCTGACCTGAAATGTCAACTTTCCTGCTCCTCTGATGCTGCCTGGCCTGCTGTGTTCCTCCAGCTCCACACTGTTTTATCTCTGACTCCAGCATCTGCAGCTCTTGCTATCTCTGAGTAACATTTGTCTCCTACTCAAGTCTCTAGGCACCTCTAATTTTCACAGATGTCAGGGCATTTGTGCCAGAGTTTATTAAATTCACTTCCTCATTTTTGTGTTACATGAGGTTAAGTCTGTGTGACAGGCCAGAGACATTGTATACGTCATCACAACAAGTCATGGATTGTCATATCTCGCAGTCTTGTGGCAAGACCATGTTTCTTAAATAAATTAATATTTTCCTTACCTCAGCAGGTTATTATTCTGTCATAGCACAATAAGACCAAAAGTGTAATTGTTTAAGATGCAACTGAGGATCCTTAAGACAATCAAGGATTTGTTTTACTATGTTGCAACCGTGTAGAATATTACACTAATTGCCCTTAAAATTTCCTAATTCTTTGTTGTCCTTGTCTAATCTACAAGTTATTTTATTCATGATGCTACAAAACAAAAAGGTCAAATATTTGATTTAACGTTTGATGGAGGGAAAGGCAATGGATTAAATATCATGTGATTGACCATCACATGGACAGTAAAACTGGAGTTAACATCCCTAAAACAGAATATTTGCATTTGAGGTTTTACCATTCTCCATTTTATTTGAAACATTATTTTCAGCGCAATTCTAATGGGTAGCTAAATATCTCCCCACCCTCAGCGTTTAAAACTAATTGTGAGAAAACTTTTTCAAGACGTGACAAAAGATAAAATAAAGAGAAATACCGGCAATTTGAGGCATCGTTTATTTCTGTACAGCATGAAGAAATGTGGACTCTTTGAAAAACCAGGTGAATCTCCAGACGTGGCAACCGTGGAGCCGGAACGACAGGCGGGGAGCACTTGTTGCCTGGAAGGAAGCTGTTTCGGTCTGGCACAGCTGAAAGGCGGCGGTGTAACCAGTTGCGCTCCGGGTTGCGTGCGGCCTCCATTGCGCCAGGGGACGGAATGCAGCGGGTGGTGGTGGTGGAGGTTCTGCTGAAAGCCGGGCTGACCGGCTTGGAGGCCCGGGCCTCAGGCCGCTCTGGGAGGGAGGCCTGCGGGTGAGTATCTTTAACAGATACAGAGCTGATGAATGGAGATCTGTTTCAGGGCTAAAGCAAAAACAAAACCCCAGAAATTGCTGAAAAAACATGCTCTGTTCTGAAGGAGTCAATGAAAAGTACACTCTGATTTCTCTGCACAAATGCTGCCAGACCTGCTGAGATTTTCCATCAACTTATATTTTTGGTTCTGATTTCTATTATCCGCAGTTCTTTCGGTTTTCTGTTTCAGGGCTTTCCTAACTAAGTGTTTTCCTCCCCTCTGCTCGTTGCCCTAATCAACTCTGCTCATCAAGCCAGGATTATTCCCGAACAAATATTTCCATATGCGTCTTGCTATCTTTGTAACAAGGGTCACAACGGCTCAGATTCCCTTTGGTATGAAATTCCCTGCTTAAATGTGGTAGCATTATCGCCCTGACACAAAGCTGGGTGGGGAGGGTGAGTGGTGGGGATTATAGATGAGGCATACCGTGGATAAATGTGAAATTACCCACTTTGGTAGCAAAAGCAGGAAGGCTGGTTATTATCTAAATGGCAATAAATTGGAAAGGGGGAGGTACAATGAGACCTGGGTGTCATTGTACATCAGTCGCTGAAGTTGTGTGTGCAGGTGCAGCAGGTGATGAAGAAGGCAAATGGTACTGGTTAGCTTTCATAGCAATAGGATTGAAGTACAAGTCTTGCTGCAATTGTAAGGGGCTTTGGTAAGACCACACCTGGAGTGAGAACTGGTCTCCTTACCTGAAGAAGGATGTTCCGACCATGAAGGTGGGACTGACTTATGAAGAAAGACTGGATTAGTTAGGACTACTCAATGGAATTTAAGAGAATGAGGGGAGATCCCATTGAAAACTGGAAAATCCGAACAGAGCTCGACAGGGTAGGCGCAGAAAGGATGTTCCTGATGACCAGGATCACAGTCTGAGAGTACGGGGTCGGTAATTGAGGACTGAGATGAGGTGAAAAGTCTTCACCCAGGGAATGGTAACCCAGTGGAATCCTCTACTGTAGAAAGCAGTTGAGCCAAAACATTGAATGTTTTTAAGAAGGAGTAAAGTATTGTTCTTGACCTAAAGGGATCAAAGGATATGGGAGAAAATGTGATAAAGGGTACTGAGTTGGATGGTCAGCCATGATCATATTGAATGATAGAGTAGGTTTGAAAGGCCAAGAAAGAGTGTAAAGTACCAAGTCTGAAGCAGAATGGCTGTTTGCTCCATCGAGTGAATGTGATTTAAGGATGGAATCAATTTCATCCAGGAACAGGATTGATGGACTGCAGCTCAAGCTTGCTGAAAAACCCAAGCCAAGGTCTCCTCAGAATCACTTATAAATGGTGTGAAGAGATCTGCCCCATTGATCGACAGGAAAGAACACCAGCAGCTGGAGGCTGCAGCCTTCACCAGTGTGGTCTTCGCAAATCCTGGGAGTCCATATAGCAGAATTCCACGATGAGGGTTCACCCCCAACCTCTCAAATGCCTGCGGGTACAGCACCAGCCACTCCGTACTCAGCCTCAGTTTCAATTTGACTTAATCCAGGCCACCAGTTTGATCACAATGGACAGGTTTGAAGTCAGTCCGATGCAGCCTTCCTGTCTGAGAAGCAGCAACGCTTTATTGCTTCACAGAAGTCTGCAAAAGTGATTTTTTTTTGTTAACTCTCCCTATTTTCGATATTTCTCAGTTAGAAGGTTGTGGGTTTAAATCCCACTCCTGGATTTTTGCATGAATGTCCAAATTGACACTCCAGTGCATTACTGGTGGAGCGCTGCATTTTCACATTTTCATTACAGGGTTAATTCGAGGTCCTGTTGGCTTTCCCTGCACTGGTCAATATTGAGTCCTTGATCAACTGTCACTAAAATCAATTGTTTGTGGTAGCACGTGCAAATTATCTCACTTTTTCTACGTGCACTTCAAAGGTGCTTTCATGGACTGTGAAGTACTTTGTCATTTGCTGAGGACCATGAACCATGAAAGGTGCTTTTAGTTTCTAGGAAAATGTAGCATGAACAACACATGGATTTTATCTGCAAATGGAGACTGTTTAGTATGTATTGCTACAAATGTCTTGTTAAAACAACAAGAATATATAATCTCGGGCAGGATAGTTTATTGTAATAAAATGCTGTGATGGGTTTAGATATTTTTTAGAGTTTAAACAAAAGCAGACTTTAAGAGAAAGTAAAGCATGCCATAACCATACATTGCTAGTAATATATAGGAAGATAAATCATTGTTTAACTTACAGAGCTCATTCATGAAATTCTTAATTATGATCAGGTTAAATTGCTAATTTTTAGTTTTACCAATTTAAAGGATTTCAGAGCAGTCTTGTTTTAATGGAGTGCTTGGGCCATTAAAAGAAATGGCTAATGAGATAGTTGATGCATTGGTTTTAATTTTTCAAAATTTGCTTGCTTCGGGGTAGATCCAATTGATTGGAAAATAGTAAATTCTCTGTTCAGAAAAGGACACAAAAGCAGGAAAGTATAAGCCAGTTATCTTAATATCTGTCATAGGGAGGCCACTAGAAACAATTTTAAAAGATGTTTTAGCCTGGCACTTAGAGAAGTTAATGTAATCCAGCAGAGTCAGCATGGGTTTGGTAAAAGGAAAATTGCGTTGTAACCAATTTGTTGTTCTCGGTTCAAAGATAGACACAAGAGCCTTACACCAGAGAGGAGGTTTGAGTGCCTGCCCTTAGGATCAAGGTTGCATTTAACGGAGTTGGCATGAAGGACTAGCAAAACTGGACTCGATAGGAATCCGCATTGGGGAGTGGTGGTTCAAGTTGGAGTCATAACCAATATTCCCTCTAATTTTAGTTTCTGCACGGATTTCTGAGTTCTGTGTGCAATATATTTGAGATAGCATTGTTTAGGGAGATGAAGGTGAATCAACCCCTACGAAACAGTGATAGAATTCACTCTGCAGTTTGAGAGGGAGAATATTGAATCAGATGTAATAGTATTACAATTGAGAAAAGGTAACTATAAAGATATGAGCGAGGAGCTGGCCAGAGTTGATTAGAAGGGAATCCTAGCAAGAAAGACAGTGGAGCAGCAATGGCAATAGTTTCTGGAAATAATTCATAATGCACAGCAGAAATTCATCCCAAGGAAGAAGGAACATATTACGGGGAGGATGAGGCAACCATGGCTGACAGGGGAAGTCAGGGACTGCATAAAAGCAAAAGTAAAAAAAAAAATGATATGATGAAGATTAGGAGAAGCCAGAGGATTGAGAAGCCTTTTAAAAACCAGCAGAGGATAATTAAAAAAGCAATAAGGGGGGAAGAAGATGAAATGAGAGCGAGTTATTTAGTAACATAAAAGAAGATTTCAAAAGTTTATTCAGCTATCTGAAAGGTATGAGAGGGGCAAGAGTGGACGTTGAACTGCTGGAACATAAGGCTGGAGAAGTAGTAATGGGGAACAAAGAAGTGGAGGAACTGTATAGGTATTTTGCATCAGTTTTCACAGTAGAGGACACCAGCAGCACACCAGAACTTCGAGACAGTCAAAGGGTAGAGGTGAGTGTAGTAGCCATCACTAAGAAGGTGCTGGGGAAGCTGAAAAGTCAGAAAGCAGATAAATGATCCAGACTGGATGGACTACACCCCAGAGTTCTGAAGGAGATAGCTGAGGAGATTGTAGAGTCATTGGTGGTGATCTTTCTTTCAGGAATTACTGGATTCAAGAAGGGTCCCAGAAGACTGGAAAGTGGTTAATGTAACATCCTTATTTAAGTAAGGAGGGAGATAGAAGACAGGAAACTATAGGCCGGTTAGCCTCACCTTGGTTGTTGGTACAATTTTAGAGTCCATTATTAAGGATGAGATTGCAGAGTACTTGGAAGTGCATGGTAAAATAGAGCTGAGTCAGCACAGTTTTGTCAAAGGGAGGTCATGCCTGACAAATCTGTTAGAATTCTTTGAGGCAGTAACAAGCAAGTTTGACAAAGGAGAGCTAAATAAGAGCCCATGGTCTTAGGGGCAAGGTACTGGCATGGATAGCAAATTGGCAGAAGGCAGAGACCGTAGATAAAGGAGTCTTTTTCAAGATGGTAGCTGGTGGTGAGTGTTGGGACCATAGCTGCTCATGTTGCATATTAACAATCTGGATGAAGAAACTGAGGACATTTTTGCGAAGTTTGCAGATGACATAAAGGTGAAGGGACGGGTAGTGTTGAAGAAGCATTGAGGCTGCAGAAGGACTTGCAAGTGCAATGTTAGCGTGTATTTTGAGAGGCCTAGAATACAGGAGCAGAGATTAACTTGAGGCTGAATAAGGCTCTAGTCAGCCCAAATTTGGAATATTGTGATCAGTTATGGGTCCTTATCTAAAGGAAAATGAGCTGGTGTTGGAGGGATGTCCAGAGGAGGTTTACAAGAATTGTTCCAGGAATGAAGAGCTTGTCATATGAGTTGTTGTTGAGGACTCTGGATTTTACTCAATGGAGTTTAGAAGGATGAGGGGGCGATCTGATTCAAAATCCTGAAAGTTTCAGAGGCCTGGATAGAGTTGATGTAAAGATGATGTTTCCCCAGTAGGAGAGACTAGGACCTAAGGGCACAGCCTCGGTAAAGGGATGACCCTTTAGAACTGAGATGAGGAAGAATTTCTTTAGCCAGAGGGTGGTGACTCTGGAACTCGTTGCTGCAGAGGGCTGTGGAGGCCAAGTCATTGAATGTAATTAAGACAGGGATACGTAGGTTTTTGATTGGTAAGGAAATCAAGGGTTACACGGGAAAGGCAGAGGAATGAGGTTGAGAAACATATCAGCCGTGATCAAATGGCAGAGCAGACTCGATGGGCTGAATGGCCTAATTCTGCTCCTGTATCTTATGGTCTTGTCTCTGATTTAAATATCCAACAGACTGGTGACACGATGGCTCAGTGGTTAACACTGCTGCCGCAGCACCAGGGACCCGGGTTCGATTCCACCCTCTGGCGACTGTGTGGAGTTTGCACATTCTCCCCGTGTCTGCATGGGTTTCCTCCGGGTGCTCCGGTTTCTTCCCACAGTTCAAAGATGTGCCGGCTAGGTGAATTGACCATGCTAAATTGCCCATAGTGTTCAGGGATGTGTGGATTAGGTGGGTTTATAGGGGAATAGGTCTGGGTGGGATGCTCTGTGGGTCAGTGTGGACTTGTTGGGCCGAAGGGCCTGTTTCCACACTGTAGGGATTCTATGATGATTAAATCTCAACCTAACATCCTGTGAACAGCATGCTTTCAGCAATGCTGATTGTTTTGCTGGACCATTAATAGATTAAGCTTTTTACCGAGCAACCTTCTGATCCTAACTGACCTCAACTTACATATTCTTCCAACTTCAGCATCCTTTTGAAACCTTTACAACTTTTTAAATTGTTTATGTCCCTTTAAATAACAATCATTTATGGCACAGAAGGAGGCCCTTCAACCCATCGATTCTATGCCATAATTTTCAGAATTGTGCCTTTGCAGCTATATTGTCTTTCTATCTCTTCTACTAAAATGCATTGCTTCACTGTGCACCTTCTACTTGTGCTTCCATTCAGCTAGTCTAAGTTGTGACATGTTTTTTTTTAATCATCCTCACTGTTTACTGCTGCTTTTTTATATCAACAAAATTTTATTCTGTATTCTGAAATTCAACTCTATTATAAATAGCAAAAGAAAAGTTGTAGCGCTGACTATTCTTACCACCCTCCAGAATGAAAAACAATAATCTACTTTGACTTGCTGACCCTCTTTGTCAAATGTTTTATTGAAATCGTAGATAGAATCCATCCACAGTTTCCTCACTTCAACAAAAAAATCAGTTAGGTTAATCAAGCATGATCTACCTTTTACAAATCTGCTGGTTTTCCTTAATTAACTCGCCTTTCAAAGTAGTCTTTTTTTTGTTTTTTTTTAACCTTAGTTTATAGATTCTAAAATCTTACTCATTTCTGATGTTAAGCTAACAGGGACATAGTTGCTAAGGCTGTCCTCACATCATTTCTTATATTTATTTACAATTATTTACAATTTATAATTTACAATTTATATAGATGATTTGGAGTTGGGGACCACGTGAAGGGTGTCAAAGTTTGCAGATGACACTAAGATGAGTGGCAGAGCAAAATATGCAGAGGACTGTGAAACTTTGCAGAGGAACATAGATACATTGAGTGAGTGGGCAAAGGTCTGGCAGATGGAATACAATGTAAATAAATGTGAAGTCATACATTTTGGTAGGAGTAATAGTAAAAAGGATTATTACTTGAATGGTAAAAAGTTGCAGCATGCTGCTATGCAGAGGGACCTGGGTGTCCTTGTGCATGAATCCCAGAAGGTAGGTCTGCAAGTACAATAAGTAATTAGGAAGGCAAATGGAATTTTGTCCTTCATTGCTAAAGAGATTGAGATTAAAAGCAGAGAGGTTACGTTGCAGCTGTACAAGGTGCTGGTGAGGCCACACCTGGAGTACTGTGTGCAGTTTTGGTCTCCTTACTTGAGAAAGGATGTACTGGCACTGGAGGGGGTGCAAAGGAGGTTCACTAGGTTGATTCCGGAGTTGAGGGGTTTGGCTTATGAGGAGAGACTGAGTAGATTGGGATTATATTCATTGGAATTCAGAAGATTGAGGGGGGATCTTATAGAAACATATAAAATTATGAAGGGAATAGATAAGATAGAAATAGAGAGGATGTTTCCACTGGCAGGTGAAGCTAGGACAAGAGGGCATAGCCTCAAGATTAGAGGGAGCAGATTTAGGACTGAATTGAGAAGGAACTTCTTCACCCAGAGGGTTGTTAATCTATGGAATTCCTTGCCCAGTGAAGTAGTTGACGCTACTTCAATAAACGTTTTTAAAGATAAGGTAGATATTTTTTTGAACGATAAAGGAGTCAAGGGATACGGTGAGAACACAGGTAAGTGGATCTGAGTCCATGAAAAGGTCAGCCATGATCTTATTGAACGGCGGAGCAGGCTCGAAGGGCCGGACGGCCTACTCCTGCTCCTAGTTCTTATGTTCTATGTTCTTATGTATATAGGCATGTCACATTTGCTGCTGTCCAATTCCCTAGTATTTCTGTATCTAGAGTTATCTAACATATTTAACATTATTCTGAAAGAAGAGCATTTGGCTTGTCAAGGGATTTATTGCACTTTTTTACAGTTTTTTTTAATGCTAAAAGTTTTTTTTTGCAAGTAATAGAATTCTGCTTTGTAGTGCAATACTTTTTTTTTGTGTTTTGTGATTAAGGTGGTGTGTGGGAAGAACTGTAAACTGTTTCTAATTAAAAAATGTTCTGTATATTAATAATGTTTGCTGTTATAATATGTCCTTTAGGTTCTGCAGGTTGACTAGAGCTGGTCAAAGAAATATCTTCACTTGTTCTGCTGTGCTCAAAGATGATGATTCTAAGCCGTGTTCTACGCCTGGACAGCAGAAAGATTCCGAAGAGAAAATGTCTGCTACAGCGGGGAAGAATGACTTATTGAACCTAATAGGTAGTATGAAGGTAGAAGTCAGCTCAAAGAAAAAGTTCCAGGCATTGAGAACACAGCAACTAAACAATCAAGCAAAGGTTCAGCCAGAAGGTGTGGAGAGTACATCCAGCATGTTTCAGAAAGCGAATAAAGACATCAAAAGTGAATGGTAACAGATGATTAATATTAGAAAGTCTCAAAAGACTATAAATCTAGTGGTGTTATGTAACAGATGTTGTCTGGGTCTTATCTACACAGTACTAAATGGTCTCAAAAGTTGAAACTTGAGAAATTTTGTCAAAAGCATGTTTGATGGGAGAAGGGGTACTGTATTCGTGAGGTGACCACGTTGATGTCAGGCATGGAGATTTCAGAAGCCATGGTACTGTTCTAAATTATTTTAAACATTTTCAATATGTCTGATTGGGTGTTGAAATAAATATAATCTGTAGTTTCATAGATCAGACTTTGGAAAAGAGTGATGCAGTGAGCTCAAATCTATTCTGGAACTTCAGGTCCCACATGTATGTGTGAAAATTTCCACAATGATTTCTTTGCAATAGAAGCTACACCCATTATTACAGTACTTTGCGCAAGTGTAATCTTTAAAGTGTTGGAAGGCTACCAACAACTGAGGATGTCTTAACTGAGCTAATCCTGTGTATGTCTGACATTCGTGCCTGCCCTCTCAACAAGGGTGACTGGAAAACAATCAGTCAAGAGGCAGGAGCCCTAACTGACTGATATCCCATACTGGGATGTTGAGGTGATTTGTAGTATTTCAGCTGCTTTCTTAGTTGACATCAGGGTTGAATTCTTCTAGGCAAGAGATTTGTTCTGAAAGAAGCATTATTTAAAATTTTGGAAACCTTGTTCAGGCATATTGCTGGTGTATTTTCTTGTCTTTTCCAAAACCTAATCTTGAAAATAAACTTTTCTTTGGACTTTTTATTCTTGTCAGTAAGAAGACATTAAATCCGGCCCTTGTTACAGCAGCTTCAGCAGTTGCATCTTCTATGCCGTACAATAAGAAACTGATTGAGTCAGAACTGCTTAAACAGCTCAGGAAGCATGAGATGGAAACTGAATCCCAGAAAAATGGAGATGCCAGTAACCTTGGGTAAGTTAATGGTCAGTGGCATAGTTCAAGGCATTTATGTCTTGCTGTGTAAGTTGGAAAATAGTCTGTAGTTTGTCCTGAATTAAGTACTTATTTTATTAATTTCATCTCTCCCGACCTCACCCCTTTAGATCCCCTCACGTTATTTCCTGTAGAGAGGTTGAACAAATGACCTGTTTCCATGTTTTTCTGAACATAAATTAGCTGCAACCTTGTATGGCCTCTGACTTCCTATTTTTGTAAAAACAAACCTTTCCTTCTGTGTGAAAAAGCATAAAATCCATTCACACCCAAGACTTGAACTTGAGCTGATTGGAAACTGGGGGTGGGAGGCTTGATTCCTGCACTCTGTATTACATTGATTGTTTTTAGTGTTTTTGCTGTGTTGTGTAAAAGTTTAATTTATACAGTTGGATTTCTGAAGATTTAAGTGAATAATTTTGAAATGGTCTAAAAATGAAGTAGTAATCATGAAATAACAATCCATTTACATCTAGTTTGCAGTTATTTGTGTAGAACACAAGGTTATCTTCTACCTTTTAATTTGTATTCAAAAGAAATTAAAACATTTTTTTAAAAAGTATCAATTTAACTATATAAAAGCTCTGCTTTACTTTCCCACTGTTTTTGATAAAGAATTTTTTTTTGCAACAAAGAATAAAAATGAATACATTCAGTCCTCATTATCCACTGATTTCCTACCACAAATTCGTGTACTTGTGAGATCAGCATTGGACCCCCATCTCCAATTTATCCCATTGTTTTATTCAGTCTGCCTTGTTAAACATCATGCAGAAGAGATGTCTGCATTTCTTGTTATTTGTGGGATGTTAATGACCCTTTCCCTCACCCCTTAATAAGGACTAAGTGTCCTTGTATTCTAAATTCATTTATGGTATGTGGGCATTGCTGGCTGGACCAGCATTTACTGCCTGTCCCAATTTGGGCTTGAGAAGGTGGTGGTAAGTTGCTGTCTTGAACCACTGTAGTCCAAATGCTGTAGGTAATGTAGTTTGGGAGGAAATGCTAAGATTCTGACCCAGTGACGCTGCAGGCCCGGTGATATTTCCAAGTCAGGATGTTGAGTGGCTTGGAGGGAAGCCTGTAGGTGGTGATGTTCCCATATATCTATGGCCCTTAACCTATCTACCATGTAGAAGGATTGGAAGGTGCAGTCTAAGGAGCTTAGGTATATTTCTGCAGTGCATCTTGTAGATGGTACACATTGTTGCTACTGAACATCAGTGGTGGAGGGGAGTGAATGTTTATGGATGTGGTACTAATCAAACGGGCTGCTCTGTCCTGGACAGTGTGAAGCTCCTTTTGTTGGAATTATACTCATCTAGGCAAGTGAGAGTGTTCCACCGCACTCCTGACTTGTAGATGGTGCCTATGCCTTGAGGAATCAGGAGATGAGTTGCTTGCAGGCTTCCTAGCCTTTGACCTACTCTTGCAGCCACAGTATATATATATGGATGCTCCAGATGAGTTTTTAGTCAATGGTAATCACCAGAATGACGTTAGTGGGGGATTAATCAATGGTAATGCCATTGAATATCAAGGGATGATGGTTATATTCACTTTTGTTGGAGATGGTCATTGCCTGGCACTTCTGTGGTGTGAATATTATTTGCCACGTGTAAACCCAAATGTCCCTTTTTTTTTTCAAAAAAAGCAACAATGAAAATAAGAATGAGTGGATAAATTTTATTTATATTTATTCATTCGTGAGATGTGGTCATCATTGGCAGGGCCTGTATTTATTCCCCACCCTTAGTTGCCCTTGAGAAATTGGTAGTGAGTCACCTTCTTCTAAACTTTTGCCCATACCTAAAGTTCTGAGGTAGAGGCAAAGCTAAAAATGAAATTGTTTCCAAATAAAACTCTATTTAATAACTTCTGTAAAGGTTGTTGGAAATTTGGACTAAGAAGGTCATAAGTGTTGTGTATGTATAGATTGCTTGTGTTCTTTTGAATTGTCTGAAGTGAAAAGAATAGAACAAAAAACATGGAAAGCAGGAACAGAACATTTGACTGTAAGAGTGTAATGCAGATTGCACTGAATATGATTAAAATTTGCAAACAATTAAGTTATCTACATTCTGAGGAAGAAATGCAAGTTAATCAAGACTAAAAGTAAAAATAAAAGACAAGATCAGAACGGAAACTACTTCTGGAACTGAAGCATGATTATTAGTTTTCATACATTTTACTGTAAAATAGTTTAGATTGCAAAATAAACTTTTTAAAAGTCTTTTAAAATAACTCATTCCATTGAATGCAGCACATTACAATTTTTACAGGCTGTGCCCAGAATGGTAGATGGCAAGCAGCTACTTGAAGCTGTTGCCAAGTCTGTAAAATTGCAACTATAAGAAAAATGGGTAGGCTGGAACTGGTTTTCCTTAGAAACTGAAAGAACTGCGGATG